AGGCACTGAGAGTCACGGACACAGAGATAAAGAGACAGAGAGAGGCAACGACAAAGGGCGCAGATACAGACACGAAAACACCGAGACAGATAGACACAACGGAGACAGACATACCCACACACGGACGGAGAGAGAGATAGACACGCACGCGCAGACAATGTCGCGGCTCTCAGTCACAGGCGACAACTCGCCCGAGAGGACGTCCGTGCAAATCGCTGGGCTGGTTGCGATGGGACCAACTGGGGTGCATCAGCTGGGTGGCTGGTTGCATGCGCGCATGACGCTGGCCTGAGATTTGCCAACGACGCGGGGGGTGGCCTTTAAACCAGCGGCTCTGCACGAGAGCAGCGTGTGTTATAATTCGTAGTCATTGCCATTCGTCTTGCTATTGCACGGGGTCACCAATGACTCCATCACGGTTTTGCAAGCTGTGGCTGTTTTAGAATAGCAAAACTTTATCGTCTGCAGCTTCGCCTTGACTGACAATTGTCGAGTCCCGGGAGCCTTTGGAATGTCAAGATAAAGTGAGGGAGCTCCCGCACAAGGAAGGGCACCAGCTCCCCCTGTTCAGCGACATCGCCCGAGGTGGGTGGGTGAGTGACTGAGCGGGTGAGTGAGTGGGTGGCTGAGTGGTTGATTGGATGAATGGGTGTATGCATGAGTGAGTGGGTGAGTAAGTGGGTGGATGAACGGGTGAGTGAGTGGGTGGGTGAGTGAATGGATGAGTAATTAAGTATTCGGTGGGAAGGTGAGCGAGCGTGTGAGTCGGTGGGTGGATGGATGAGTTATTGGGTAGGTGAGTAGTAGGTGAGCGAGTGGGTGGGGTGGATGGATGAGTTATTGAATGGTTGGGTAGGTGAGTAGTAGGTGAGCGAGTGGGTGGGGTGGATGGATGAGTTATTGAGTGGTTGGGTAGGTGAGTAGTAGGTGAGCGAGTGGGTGGGGTGGATGGATGAGTTATTGAGTGGCTGGGTAGGTGAGCGGGTGAGTGGTTGAGGGAGTGTGTGCCCCGTGCGATGAAGGCGCTTGGCTCCAGGAGTGGAAGGTGCATTTCCTCGCTATCTGCGGCAGGCTCCAATTCTTAATGCTGCGCTGGCCACAGGCCACTCTAATTGCCGCTAGAAATCTGCGGAACTGCCAAATTGTCGCAGAGGCTCTGCCAAGAGACATATTATTTTACAGAGGTGCTGGGAGGGATGAGGACCGGTGCGCCAGGATGCACATTGTTCATGGAGCAGACTTCGGTCAATCCACTGCTGGATAAGGAACTTCCCACCCCTTGCGGGTCGTGGGAACGATTTGACCACGCTGCAACCAGTCTGGCCAACGCGGGCCGGTAGAATGCGCGTGCAGCGTAAATGCGAGAGCGTTGAAGTACAGTACAACGGTGGATTTGCGGTACCGCACGCACTTCTCCCCTGAGAAACATTTGGGTGCGGGGGTTGAGGTTTGGTTACTGACTCAAGCAGGAAAGTCACTGGGAAGGTGAAGAGAAGGTTGCGTTCATGACACACGCAGTGCTTGCCACAATTTACCCACAACACATCTTTGATCTCGTACAAGGAGCATCAACCATCGTCACGCGAACTCAGATCATCCTCGCAGCAGCGGCTTCTGGCTCAGCCATCAAACAAAGACGGCGGTCACCGCATCGCGCGCTTTCAGATGCGCTTATGTGGCCGTCTGGAACGCTCTTCTTTCCGATAGTAGGAAGCCACCGCAGCTGTGCACTTTTAAATCGTCTAGATTTACAACTCATTTTCTTTAGAACTGCTTTTTGTGTTCAGTTTGCTGTCCTCCGCACCTCCGAGTAGCGCGGTTGGCTACGTACGGTGAAGAAAAAAAAGTTAAACGTACATACATACATATCCAAAGACAAAGATCCAACGTACACTTTTTTTTAACAGACTGTTGGGGCAAGTGCTGTTAGAGCGCACCTATGAAGGCCGGCACGGCACACGAGGGGGTGGGTGGGCCAGCACAACGCCCGGCCGCCTTTGTCTCCTTCGTGGTGATGGTTACACTCCGCACCAGGTACTCATTTCAGGCTGAGTCGACCTAGGGAAGGCCCAGGACCGGTTCAGATAATCGTCACTGGTGTTGGCCGTGAGCGGGAATGGAACCCGGGTCTCTAGGTTCATAGCGCAGCGCGCTAACCGCTACACTACCGCTCCCCACTATACACACACTTACACAAACATATCCACACCCTGACACCCATACATGCAAGGCGGCCACTGTGACCCTGGTCAAGGTGAGGAGGGAGCTGGAGCTTGTGTGGTCTCTTGTTACCGCGCGCTGCGCGCTGCATCATTGTTGCGGCTTTCGTGTGGCGGTTGAATGTTACATAATAATAATCACAACAACCCAATCATGGTTGCGAGCTCCCTGCGCAGTAGCCGTCAACGCGAGCCTCGCTTGAGCAGCGGCCAACGACTGGGTGGGAGCAGGAGCGGTGGCGCAGTGGTTAGCGCACGGAGAGCAACGTGACCAGGCCACCCGAATTCGATTGCCGCTCGCTACCAATAACAGTGGCGGGTATTTGAACTGGGCACCCAAATGCTGCCCCATGAAGCCTCGTCTACCAGCTCACTCGCCCTCTTGCTGATGTTTACACACCGCACACGAAGTAAATGGTCACATAACCACGGACACGAACCCTACCCCTAACTCGGCTCACTCTGTAACTAAGTCAGCTCACCATGAGTACGAGCTCTCTCACTCACTCAACCTCTACCCTCAACCAACTATTTAACCATCCACTGGTATTCACGCTCTATTATATCCATAACCGATTAGATTAACTTACCTATAAAAACTAGCCATGCCCTATCCTTAAACAACGACTACACCAACTACTGGTACTAACCTACTTCTAACCCTAACTAATCATTAATATAGTCACTCGCATTTACCGTAACAATAGCACGAATAAAGTGGTCATCCAGTTACAAATGTGCCCTGGTTCACGCACTGACCCGAATAACCCTACCTCTACCTAACGCCACGTCCGTCTGGAACGCCCTTTCTTCCGATAATTGGAAGCCACTGGAGATACCCACTTTTGAATTTACTAGATTCGAAAACTAATTTCTTTAGAACTGCGTTTTTGTGTTTCGTTTGTTGTCCTTCCCCCGTACCTCCGATAAGCACGGTTGGCTACGTACGGCGTGAAATAAGTTCAACGTGCATGCCAAACTAAGCTATTTATTTTTAGTTTACCAGGTAAAGCCCACTGAGCTATGTAGCTCTTTATCAGAAACGACCTGGCTCTCACAAATGCGAGCTCAACAAAGTGGCTGATATCAAGTGGAAACGCACAGCAGCCAAATACTGTAAGCGCATGTTGTTGATTCTAAATGTCGAGGGTAACAGAGACACCACAAACTCCAAATATAGAGCAGGCGTCCGGATCGGGATCGAACCTACGACCTCCAGCACACCAAGCGAGGTGGTTAACATCTCATAGCCACCGTGGCGCCCTATCTCGTGCTGCAGTGATAGCGACGACGTATCGAGGTCGATCGACCAGCGGTGGATAGAGCACGACCGAGCCTACCGCCGCGTCATGAAGACTCGCGCACATCCAATGGGAGCCGTGCTGACCAGGCGCAAGCCCTCCCGCCTGGCTTCTGAGGTCCGAAGTGCTCGCGACGCACATCGGAGCGTCTTGGCCATCGGCGCGGCCCCCGGGACTCGGCACGGAGATGAACGTCACCCGCGGAGTCCCCCACCCATGGTGACGATTCGGTCTGCCAATCTTGGCCGAGCTCAACCACCACCATTGCAGGTCACAGTAATACACTGGACAAAGACCACCCCCCCCCCGTATAGTCTCAGATGGCTCTTGGGGCAAGTGCTGTTAGCGAGTAGCACCTGTGAAGGCCGGCACGGCACACGAGGGGGGGGGGGGGGGTGGGTGGCCAGAACCACGCCCCGGCCGCCTTTGTCTCCCCAGCGGCGATGTTTACTAAACACCGCACCAGGTACACATTTGAGGTTGAGCCGACAGCTCTACACTCACACACTCCACTCACCACACACCACACTCACACACCCCACTCACACACTCACTCACCACACTCACCACGCTCACACACCACACTCACACACCCCACTCACCACACTCAAGGACCACACTCACACACCACACTCACCACGCTCGCACACTCCACTCACCAACCCACTCACACACCCCACTCACCACCCCTCTCACACACCACACTCACACACCCCACTCACCATACTCACCACCCCATTCACCACCCCACTCACACACCCCACTCACACACCCCACTCACCACACTCACACACCACACTCACACACCCCACTCACCACTCCACTCACCACACCACTCACACACCACACTCACACACCACACTCACCTCACTCGCCACCCCACTCACCACACTCACACACCACACTCACACACCACACTCACACACTACACTCACCACACTCACACACCACACTCACCCCACTCACACACCACATTCACACACAACACTCACACACTAAACTCACACACCACACTCACACACTAAACTCACACACCACACTCACACACCACACTCCCCACACTCACACACCCCACTCACACACCACACTCACACACCCCACTCCCCTCACTCACCACCCCACTCACCACACTCACTCACCACACTCACCACACTCACCACCCCACTCACCACTCACCTCACTCACCACCCCACTCACCTCACTCACCACACTCACACACCCCACACACCACACTCACACACCACACTCACCACACTCACACACCACACTCACACACCACACTCACCACACTCACACACCACACTGCAGGTCCAAACCGCCCAGCGTCTCCCCTCGTGCCGGGCCACGGCCTGTGCCCGTGGCCCGTGGCCCGTGCTCCGGCCCTGTGGAGGCAGCAGCGAGGGTTGGTGGCTCGCACACAGATGGGCTGCGACACTCCCTTCCTGGGGGCGTCGAGGCGGAGCCGTGCCCCTGGCTCGCCAGGACAATGCAGCACAGCAACAAATATAGACTCCACCTGTTCTGTCGGGATGTGATCGAGTGTTTCCCCCTCGCACGCGTGCGTTTCATCCGGGTGCTGCGGTTTCCTCCCACATGTAAAACAAACCCCATAATTAATCGTCCGATAAGACCTTAATCCCTAGAGCACCGCAGAGTTTGGGAATTGTTGGGAATTGTTGGCTGCCTTGCTGCTGGTCTGCGGTTCCTTCTCTCGCCTCTGAGTCGTTCTCTCTCTGTCTCTCCGAGAGCGAACGAATACTGCGCGGCGTGTTAGAAGTTGAAACTATTATCACTACTAGACTACTACTCCCGCCGCTGCACCTTGGAATTCCCTGCCATCGTTAACCCCACCCCACCACCACCAAGTTCTACAAACAACCTTGGCTCAATTCAAGAGACGTGTCAACTCTCTAATCTTAACATCAGAGAGAGTGCTGTTTGTTGCTGGCCCGCCTCGATGCGCTCAGCGACCGTGGCGTTTCGGCTGCCCGCGCCGTGGGGCTGAGGAAACGGAGCTTCGCGGGTGCGGGGGATTCGTTTCCCTGCGTCTCGAGTTCCTTCCTGGCGGTTCAGCCGACACTGCCCCTCCAACTCACCTCGCCACCCCCCACCACACTCCCCTCTCCAAGTCTCCACCCCCCACACACCCACCGAGCTTCTTAAAATAATAATAAAAAATTACAATTGTATTAGGGGGCAGCTGTTTTAAGGGAAGGCGAGCGGAACGGAGCGCCCACAAAGCAGAGGGAGTGGCGAGCAGACAGGGCTGAGTGGCCGAGGTAGCACGGCACGGCATCCCGATGGAGCGATCACGGAGCGGAGCTGCGGAGAGACGCTGCGTCTGATCTCGCTCCCCGTGTGGAACGTGGCGAGTGCACCGCTCGATTCGCGCCCGAGGAGAGGGAGAGACAACCGCACCGCTGGTCGTGACGTCCTCTCGAGTCGCGACGTAGAATTTGCCCCCCAGGGGTCGCGGAATTCGCGGAACCTGCATTTGCGCAAAGCTTCAGATACCGCGCGCGGTTCTTGCGTAAAAAAATAAAAAAAGCAAACTCAAACTTTACGCAATTCGCCGCAAACTCGCGACCAGGGGCAGCACAGGGAAACGTGCGGCGAGCGTGCGTCTACAAAGAGCAGCGTCTGGACAGAGCGGAACGCAAAGCGGTCTCTGCCACGATGGTGGCGACGTGTTGGACGCTGTTCTTCTCGCTGGCGTGGTGCGGGGCGCTTGTGGGAGCGCTTTCCTCGAGCCAATCGTCCGCTCGGGCACAGCAGCAACAGCAGCTACAGCAGCAACAGCAGCAGCTACAGCAGCAACAGCAGCAGCTACAGCAGCAACAGCAGCTACAGCAGTCTCACAGTGATGCGACTCAGGTTGGACTCGATGCGCGCCTCCCTGTCGCTCACGCCGACTCAAGACAGCGCGGCGGACGCATCACGGGCCGTGCCATGGTCACCCCCGCGCTCCACCACCAGCAGCAGCAGCAACAACATCCTCATCCTCATCGCGACGAGAATGCGATTCACACGGGGAGGATGGACGAACGCGACTCTTCCACGGGAACGAGTGAGCGAGGTCCACTCACGGGAGACGCGCACGACAAGGCGGCGACCGCGGTGTCACAAACCCAGCAACAGCAACAACATGGCCAGCAGCAGCAGCCCCATCGACAGCCGCTCCACCATCTCCTTCATCGTCACCATCAGCAGCGGCAGCGACAGAGAGACACGGAGACTCCAGGGGGAACCGCTGCTGCTGCTGCTGGAGAGGCGGGCGGAGGGGTGCGGTCGCCCGGGACCGTTTGGGAGGCATCGGGGTTGGTGCAAGAGGAGGGAGGCTCCACGCGGACGTCTCGACACACGCGCAACTCCGCGTCGAGAGGGCGGTAAGCGGCTTGGAGACACGGTCCACTCAAAGACAAAGACCCCCCCCCCCCGGGTAGCCTTACTAGACTTGTTGGGGCAAGTGCTGTTAGCGAGCACCTATGAAGGCCGGCACGGCACACGAGGGGGTGGGTGGCCAGCATCCCACCCCCGGCCGCCTTTGTCTCCCGAGTGGCGATGTTTACACACCGCACCAGTTTATCTGAACCACATGAGCGGTTCAGATAATCTTAACCGGTGTTGGCCGTGAGCCTGGATCGACCTCGAGTCGCCGGGTTCGTAGCGCAGCGCGCTAACTGCTGCGCCACCGTTCCCCACTCAGCACACACACACCTCCACTGTTAGACATGTCCACGCACAACCCTTTTGTCGATCCGCTGCAAGATGAAGGCTTCCCCGCAGACAACTTGTGTTTTGACGACACTTTTCACACCCGTGAAGGCGGGACACAAGCACGTGGGTATCATAGAACTACTGCCCGCGTGAAATCACCGCCATCTACTGCCACTCAGAAATAAGTAACAAAAAGAAGCCCATTAGTGAGTCTCAAGACTGTTTTCAGGAGGGTCCTGCAACCGGGGGGGAGGGTGTTTGTCAAAATGTCTTCACGATCATGAGCGTCGCGCAATTGCGAGAGGCGAGTCAGAGTAGAACCCGGCAGAAACCCCGACGTGCGTTACGATTGGAACAACGATCACAAGGGCCCCTACAGGCGGGTTTCGCGAACCCGCTCGCCGTCCTGCCACCTCGCTGCTGCTGCTGCTGGTGGTGTGGGGGGGGGGGTTACTGCCAGTGCGGTGCAGCAGCTGCGGGATCTGTCAGAGGGTGGGGACGCTCTGGCGAGGGGGTGCGGCGGTGGCGGTGGTGGCGGTGGTGGTGGCGGTGGCGGTGGTGGCGGTGGTGGTGGCGGTGGCGGTGGTGATGACATCAACGGCTTTGGCCACAACAACTTGTTGATTCCTGACCTCGCTGGCCCACTCTTGGCAGCAGCCCAAGCTGAGTGGAGAATCGCCGTCTCGCACCGATCCCTGCGCGATCCGCCAACCCTCGCGCCTCCAACAAGCGCCGTTTCACAGAGCGTGTGTCTGTATGTCTGTATGTTGAACTTCTTTCGCACCGTACGTAGCCAACCGTGCTAATCGGAGGTGCGAGCGCCAGGCGAGGCAGCCGATCGGTGACGATTATCTTCACCGGCCCGAGGTCAACTCAGCCTCAAAATGCGTACCGGGCGTAGCGCTGTCCACCCATCCCCTCGTGTGCCGCGCCGGCCTTCAGTAGCTGCCGCTATCGCTAACAGCACCCGCCCCCATTACCAGTCTGTTGATGCTACACGGTGCGTGTGTGGGTGGGTATCGTTCTGTGTGCGCGCAGGAACTGGTGCGCCTACGTGCGGACCCGGCTCTCGCCCACGGCGCTCGCCGACGGCAGCGAGACGTACGTGGGCAAGGCGAGTCAGCAGTGCCCCTGGACGTACGGAGTGTGCGGCATCGTGTGAGTTGCACACCCCTCTCCATCACCCTCCGCCTTGCCACGTGCGGTGAATCGACCCCCGTGTTGAATTCAGTTCGCGCGAGCTACGTGCACGGTTCACCACTCGTGTCCGCCCGTCGTGTACTGCGTAATGAGGGCGCAGCGGTGGCGAGATGTTAACTACCTCGCCTGGTATACAGGAGGTCGTGTGTTCGATCCCGATACTGACACCTGTTGTGTATTTGGAGTCTGCGTGTGCTCTCTCCCCCCGTGGTCGCGTGGATTTTTCTCCGGGTCCTCCGGTTTTCCCCTCCACATGTTTAGAATCGATATGGGTTTAGAGCAGTTGTCTGCTCTAGAATTCCACGTGATGATAAGCCACTTCGTTGAGCTATCATTTGTGGCCAGGCCGCTTCTGAAAAATAGTTAAATAGCTCAGTGGGCCTTACCTTGTAAAATAAAAAAGTACTTTTAGTGTATAGTTTGTATGCCATTTTATTCTTCTAAACATGGTACAGCTCTCCACTGCCCATCGACAGAGCCAATCTGATCAAGTTGTGTCACGTCATGGGCAAATGCCCCATTTGAGATTTGGGTTATCAGCAACACAAACCGGAGAAGGAGGTAATGTTGAAAAGCTCGAGTTAAACATTCGCTATTTGTGTACGACGTTTCGCTGGAGACCATCACGACGTGTTAAAAAATAAACCATCAGCTCTCGTAGGTTGCCGCTGTTGTGTTGCACGCGGGCTGAGCTCATCGGCTCCATTCTCCGTGGTGGCGGTGGCGGTCGCGTCGCCCCTCCTCGGCTGTCGTTCCACCACCAGCCTCGTCCGACGGACGCGGCGACTTCTAGCGGCCAATCTGACCACGGCCCCAGTCCGCTCGCTTTGTCCGTACGGGATGTGCGGCGCTTGCCGGGAGTGCACGCGTAGCCGCGAGCGATGATTTACACAAGGGAATCGTGCTCGCGATGTCAGAGTATTGTGAGTGAGACAAAACAAAGATCCCCTCCCCGAAAGCCTTAACAGACTGTTGGGGCAAGTGCCGTTAGCGAGCACCTATGAAGGCCGCAACGGCACACGAGGGGGTAGGTGGCCAGTACCACGCCCGACCGCCTTTGTCTCTACACTACCACATACACACATACACTCGCGAAAAGAGGGAATTTATGCACGTGTTGTGTACACGTCTGTGAATCATAACGTAAAGAAACCAGGTTGACTTGATGGCCCAACATTCCCCAATTCGTTCGGGCAATCAGTCGCCTTCTTATCACTCTTCTATCGCGACTACAATGCTTACTGTGGCCGTGAACTTCACCCCTTCGTTCCTCCTGCACCACCCATTTGTGAGGACTCGGCTCTACCAGCTTGACTGTTGTTTAATGTCATGCACCCCGTGTTCAACCACTGCCACCGCCGCCACCACCGCCACACTGCTCGACTTTGGGGCTCCCTTCCCATTGTTTATTGCTTATCCCCCCCCACCCCTGCCCCCCGGCTTGCTGCAGGTACCGCGTGATGCAGCGGCCGGCATACCGCGTCAAGCACCTCATCGTCACCTCCCTCGAGTGGCGCTGCTGCCCGGGACACGACGGCACCAACTGCGAACCCAAAGGTGGGGAAGCCGCGAGTGGCGTTCCCTGAGCTCGTCTCTGATCGAGCTGACGGTGGAAATCCCAACGTTTTTATTGATGCGGGGGACCAGATGTGTTCTATATATATCATATCCTGTACATCCTGTCATACATACGGGAAATCACTGTTGACTTCTAAACAAAGTGACACTCATTCGACTCCACGGCAATGATGGCCGAGTAAAAACCCTGACCAGGATTTGAACTCGCGAACCCTTTCGATTGCGAGCCGCTGGCTCAGTGTTGTTCACTACACTTCAGAGGAGGGGCCCACATTGGCCGATGAGACATCAGCAGTGTGAGGGCCGCCACACACTTGAGACCATTGTTGGGTTTGACAGCAGCACGATGATGATGATGATGGGGGTGTTGTCACGTGTCGTGTGTTGTCGGGGGCCACACGTCAGGGCCGCACTGAAGGCTCCCAGGGGTTGCCAGTGGCCCGCGAGCCTTGCAAAGAAGAACACTGCTCTAGCTCTACCGCTGGGCCTTTTGGTCTGTTACACTCGTCTCACATGTTATATACAATATACACATATATACATACACACGTCAATGTAATTATACATCCTCACTGAGTCTCAAGACTATTTTTAAGTAGGGTAATTGCTACATTGCGGTTTTTGGCCAATGCCATCATTCAATGTTGTGTATGTGGGATGATGCAGAGAGACACTGAGTTTATTATCTCAGCTGCTAAGGCCCCACTGAGCTAAGCGTCTCTGTTACAAGGGCGCCCACAGCCAGGACCGTCGGTAGTGGCGGCAGTTACAGGACACTGCGGTTACACAGAGTTACATACATATCCATAGAGTTACATACAGATCCATAGAGTTACACAGCGATCCATCGAGTTACACAGATATCCATAGAGTTACACAGAGATCCGTAGGGTTACACAGAGCTCCATAGAGTTACACAGAGCTCCATAGAGTTATACAGAGATCCATAGAGTTACACAGAGCTCCATAGAGTTACACAGACATCCATAGAGTTACACAGAGCTCCATAGAGTTACATAGAGTTACACAGAGACCCTTAGAGTTACACAGATATCCATAGAGTTACACAGAGATCCATAGAATTACACAGAGATCCACAGAGTTACACAGAGATCCATAGAGTTACGCAGAGATCTATAGAGTTACACAGAGATCCATAGAGTTACACAGAGATCCATAGAGTTACACAGAGATCCACAGAGTTACATTGAGATCCATAGAGTTACACAGAGATCCACAGAGTTACACAGCGATCCACAGAGTTACACAGAGACCCTTAGAGTTACACAGAGTTACATAGAGTTACACAGAGATCCATAGTTACACAGAGATCCATAGTTACATAGAGATCCATAGGGTTAGATAGACAGCCAGAGAGTTACACAGAGATCCATAGAGTTAGATTGAGATCCATAGGGTTACATAGATCCATCGAGTTACATAGAGATCCATAAAGTTACATTGATATCCATAGAGTTACACATACATCCATAGAGTCAGACAGATCCATAGACATAGAGATCCATAGTTATAAAGAGATCCATAGAGTTACATAGAGTAACACAGAGATCCATAGAGGTGCATACAGATACATAGAGTTACATAACTTCCCATGGGTTGCATTGCATTGAGGTTCATATCCCTGTAGTTACGTGGTCACTGAGTTTATTATCTCAGCTTCTAAGGCCCCACTGAGCTAAGCGGCTCTGTTGCGAGGGCGGCCACAGGCCCCAACCTCCGGCAGGGCCGCATGCTCCACTAGGCCACAGCAGCCACTGTGCATGGGGCCTGCGAAAACGAAAGGTCCCTGCGATAAAAAAAAAGTGTGAGCGCGTTTTTTCGTTGGTTAGTTCGCTTCTCAATCTACTTGTCCCAGTGAGGCTCGCGACGACAGTGTTTTCGTTTGTTTGTATGATAAATCTTTTTTATATGATCAAGAGATAAATATATTAAAATACATATTTTTCAATTTACAGCTTTCGTGACTGCATGGATTCATATTCTTGGTTCTTTCGGTAAAGTCACGTAGAAGGGACATAATAAAATATGTGAAATTTTTTATTATTTTATTATTTCCCTTCTACGTGACTTTACCGAAAGAACCAAGAATATATAACTATATTTACATAGCAAATGATGGGCATAGTGTACACGGTGAGACATGTACAACGGAGATGAACTTTTCGAGAATTTTTTTCATTGCAAAATGAGCAACATCTTCAAAAAACGCTGTTGTTCGCACAATCTCCTTCTCAACAGCGAGAGGGGAGTGCAAGGGGAAGTCCAGGCGGCGTTGGTGTTGCTCCACGTGAAACGAGCGGAGTGACAGTGGCGGTGGTAACGTGGGCAGCATTACCAACGTAGACAGTTATCCCTGCAGGACTACAAAACAGAAGTGCCGAGGGCTTATAAGAACCTTACTCCGGTCCGAACTGTTGGGTGGAACGTCCCAAACAACGCGATAAACAACAACAACTGTTTACTACTATTATGTATTTTTTTTTATTTTACCAGGTAAGGCCAACTGCTCTTTTTTCAGAAGCGACCTTGCTACAAATGCCAGCTCAACGAAGTGGCTTATCACGTGGACATTTATAGCAAATTCTCGAAATGCACGTTGATTATAAAAATGTGGAAGGAAAAACCTGAGAAAAATCCATGCTATCACGGGGAGAGAGACACGCAAACTCCAAATATACAGCAGCAGGCGTCAGGGTCGGGATTGAACCCACGACCTCCTGTAGACCAGGCGAGGTAGTTAACATCTCCTAGCCACCGTGATGATGATGAGAGAGAGAGAGACACGCAAATGCCAATTATATAGCAGGCGTCAGGGTCGAGTTCGAACCCACGACCTCCTGCATACCAGGCGAGGTAGTTTACATCTCGCGAACGTGGTGTCCACATTGAAACAATAGTTTCACGAGACGCGGCCAGATGTATTGCAAACACGATCGGGGCTAAGGTGATCGCCCGCCTCCCTGTGAAACATCGCTTTGGAGGCGAGGGTTGGTGGACCAGGAAGAGAGTTGTGTGGAACGCTGCGCCTCGCCGCACGTGTTCTGTGTGTGTTGTGCGCGCAGGGCCGTTTGGGTTCGTGCAGGGCACTCCGCTTGACTCAAAAGATACCGCCATCCCCTCGTCTCCACTCAACGATGAAAAGAGTGAGTATGTGTGTGTGTTTGTAGGTCGACTCAGCCTCAAATGAGTACCGAGTGTGATGTGTAAACATTGCCCCTAGGGAGACAAAGGTGGCCAGGCGTGATGATGGCCACCCACTCCTACTAGTGCTCGCTCACAGCACTTGCCCCAAAACGTCTGTTGAGGCTATATGGGGAATGGGGGGGTCTTTATCTTTGTAGTGACATCTCGAGTTGGATTATCGTGCGTCGTAGTGACGTCCTTCATGGGTTATCGCTAACAGCACTTGCCCCAAAACCTCTCTGAAGGCTACACGGGGATCTTTGTCTTCGTCTAAGGATCGTGGTGGGGGCCACGTAGCCCCCCCCCCCCCCCACGGCGCCATTCGTAGATGCTCGCGATTAACACTGGCCCAGACAATGTGTCAAGTCTATACGGGGGATCTCTGTACACACATATATATTCTAGTTGGTATGTGTTTTAGCCATGTACGTACGGCGATGACGAGATCACTTCGGCAGACGAGACGAGAGAACGCGCGGCGCCCCAAATCGGCTCAACCCACAGCATCTGGCCTCTCAGCCGGTGGCATTCCTCCAGACGGCCCTCATCCATCTCCACGTCCACTCGTGCCCCTGGCGCGTGCGCGCGCCCTCGACGCGCACGCGCACGTGCCCCTGGCACGACGTGGAGACGTCACCCTCGCTGAGTGGCAGCTGCTGCTGTTTGCGTGTTGGCTATCATCGCGGGGGAGCGGCGGTGCCGCGGTTAGCGCACCGCGCGACGAACCTGGCCACCCGAGTTCGATTCCTGGCCACGGCCGACACCGGTGAAGATGATCTGAATCGGTTCTGGGCCTCCCCAAAGTCGACTCGACCTCAAATTTAGTACCTGGTGCGGTGTGCGAACATCGTCACTGGGGAGACAAAGGTGGCGGGGCGTGGTGCTGGCCACCCACCCCTCGTGCGCCGTGCCGGCCTACACACTGTAGGTGCTACTCGCTAACAGCACTTTCCCCATCAGTCTCCTGTACGAGGCTATACGGGGGGGGGGGAGGGCATCTTTGTCCTTGTAGGCTATCATAGCCACTCAGGGCCGCTTCATGGTCGTGATGAACAACATTCGTGGCTATTTGTAACTGAACCTTTGCTTGGGCATCCCCAAGGTCGACTCAGCCTAAACCTACCACGGTGATTGAGTGTTAGAGTGCAGGCAGTAGGCACTGCGAGGTTGGTATTTGTCCCAAGGCAGTGCTGGGAGTTCTGTGTTCATATGAGGGCGACCTTTCTCTCCACTGTTGAGGGTAGGGGAGAGAGGAAGTTTAGTTTATTTTATTGATTCCGACTGCATTGCGGACCATTGTCTTGACAGCAAACGGCAATGCACACACGGCAAACGTGTCCTACGTGAAGAACAAACGCTACCACAGGTCAAGCTTGTGTCAAATCACATTCTCGTCTAAATACGTTGATGTCGATTGCATGGACAATCAAACCTTACGAATTGGCTTTGTCGGGTGGTTGTGGGTTAACGGCACATTTATATTTACGCGATCTAACAAACAAAAAAGTTCTTGTGAATACTGGTCGCGAGACGTGTTCAACTGAAGTTCAGTCCAAGTTCTATCTCTGGTATAGATTCTTTACACGTGCACTTCAGTCTGGCATTCTTGCCCCTTGCTAGACGGCTCTCTCTGCCAAGTGCTCAAAGAAACGTGGGAATACGTGATCTCCAAGTGCAATGGAGAGACAAGGATGAGGAACAGATGGATCAACAATCAGCCAAAAATCCGAGGCGTCATATTTACTGTTAAAAAAACATCGCTTGGGGAGGACACGTCATAGCTAGAATAGGAACAACGATGGCCAATGGACGAGAATGGTAATGGGTTGTTTGCCAAAGGAGGGAATGCAACCGAGAGGATGAACTACCATAGAGACGAGATCAGCTGACGTGCAGGGAATGCGCTGGATCGTGGCATAGCAAGACCCGCGAGGATGTCGCCAGAGTGGGGAGAACTTCACCCGCCAGTGGATAGACATTGTCTAATTAGATACAATGGTGATATTGCATAAAATAAATAAAAGGGAAATTTTAGAATTTGTGTTCGAAATGTTTAGCATACTTCCCAACATGCAGCAAACTTGAAATTTGGCATGTGGGTAGCTTCCAGACTGTACACAATGCAAAAAGTATCAAAATAGACTTTTGTATTTGGGGGGGGGGGCGCAATAATGGATATATTTTTCACGGCAAGTGAGCGGTGACGTCCCATCTGTGATGTCACCCGCATGCGGCAGCGTCACGCGGGGTGCCTGCTGACGTCACGCATCCCCCCCACCCGCCGCGTAGGCCGTGTGTTAATCCAAGACAAGAATCCAAGTTTCGGGCGAAGCCGGGTAGTACAGCGAGTATTGCATAAAATAAATGACGACGATGCCATAACGACGATGCCATGACGACGACGACGATGACGATGATGATGATCGCGTTGCCCACAGACCGGCCCGGGCGCCACGACGGCAGCAATCACCTGGAGAAGCACCTGGCACACCTGGCCCAACTCCAGCGGGACGTGGCCAACGTGTCCGGCGCCCTGGGCGACGTGCGTGGCAGCCTGCGTGCCCTCGAGGATCGCGTGGCCGTGCCCCGGCCCGGTGAGCGGTTGCTTTGTATCCCCCCCCCCCCCGCTACTCTCTGTGTGTATGTGTGTATGTTGAACTTCTTTCACACCGTACGTAGTCAACCGTGCTAATCGGAGGTGCGGGTTGTGTCAGAATATTTTTTAATTTCCAATGGGGACAGAGATGTGAAGTAGATGTATTAATATTGGGGGTCGCGGTGCGAGGGACAGGACAATAAACTGAACAACAAAAAGCAGTTTCATCAAGGAATGAGTATTCAATCCAGATGATTTAAAAGTGTCTATCGCCCAGTGGCTTCCTAATATTCACCGAGGCGGGGCTGGCGAAGGACGTAGATCTGACGTGGCGGCGGCGTTGCACGGCGCAACGTTCGGCGGTTCGCTGCACGCGTTAGGAGCTTCTTCGGGCAGACATCGAGCCAGACATCGCGAAAATTTGCAACCACGAAAACCCTGCGAAGTAGAATTAGTCCATTGGCCAGTGACGTATTTTACTTGTCCATACCTCCCGAGATGGTTAAACAAGACATAAGCGGTATCAATTCATATTCTTGTTTCTTTCGGTAAAGTCACGTAGAAGGGAAATAATAAAATAATAAAAATAAAACATTATAAAATAAAATTCTCACGACGTTTCGGCCACAACACAAGCAGCCGTCCTCAAGTGAAGAACAGAGCTGTCGGAAAGACGATGCAAGCGGCGGTGTTCACTGGGACGCTGTTTTTCCGACAGACCTGTTCTTCACCTGAGGACGGCTGCTTGTGTTGTGGCCGAAACGTCGTGAGAATTTTATTTGATTATGTTATATTTGTATTATTTTATTATTTCCCTTCTACGTGACTTTACCGAAAGAACCAAGAATACGAATCCCTGCAGTCACGAAAGCTTTAAATCGGTATCAATTCGTTTATTATTTGTCTAGACAGGCAAATTCCGGACACATTTCAACCTTCTGAGTCTCATCAGTGTCGTATGGCCTGTTAAGCGATTGCTACTGGTTTGCCCGATGTTTCAGGCATGGACCTTACACGAGCACAGTGGAGCTTGTGGGGCGTCAGGTGTTTTAGACAAACGGGGGTCACGGGTCAGGCTTATTGAGCTAGTTAGCTCTTTTTCAGAAGCGACCTGGCTATCACAAATGAAAGCTCAACGAAGTGGCTTATCGCGCGCAAATTTATAGCGGCCAAAAACTCGAAACGCGCGATGTTGATTCTAAATGTGGAGGGAAAAACCGGAAGAACCGGAGAAAAATGAACATGACCACAAGGCGAGAAACACTGCAAACTCCAAATATACAGCAGGTGTCAGAGTTGGGATCAAACCCACGACTTCCTGTATACCAGGCGAGGTAGTTAACATCTCGCCACAAGCAAAGAACAACGACACACAATGTGGGAACAGCCTCGATTACTGGACTGGCTTACCAGTCAAGTGCAGTAACGTTGAGTAAACACAACTTAGTGTGGCCCACAGGAGTTAATTGTTCCTTTGTGAGCACGTGTCAGGTGGCTCATGGTGCGGTGGACGTATTCCCGACACGGTGAATGCGGGGGGCCCGTGCGGCGGCGGTGGCGGCGAATGTTTACTTTCGTTCGGAATTTGGCAAAATCCGTGGCGGATGTCTCCATCACCGAACATCGAGGGGGCAAAGGGCCAGAGGGGCGCCACCCGGCCCGTCGCGTCACGTGGTGTGAGCGGCGAACGTGGCCGCGTTCCCGATGCCTCGCCGGGACAACTCCGCTAAATTCCTCCCCGTACTTTAGAGATAACCCCACACACCGCCGTGCACCCTCACCCTGTGACGACTCTACTGATCGAACTGCTTTTTGTGTTTAGTTTGTTGTCCATCGAACAAAGACGGTCACTGCGTCGTGCTCTTCCAGATGCGCTTCTGCGGTCGTCTGGAACGCTCTTCCTTCCGATATTAGGAAGATACTGTAGCTATGCACTTTTCAATAATCTAGATTGAAAACTAATTTCTTTAGAACTCCTTTTTGTGTTTCGTTTGTTGTCGTTCCCCTGCACCTCCGATTGGCGCGATTGGCTACGTATGGCGCGAAAGAAGTTCAACGTACGTACACATATAACTGAATGGATACGATTTCATTTTGTTTTAGATAACAGTAGCTGAGCACAGGGCCCAAATGCACAAAACTCCAAGGAGCCAGCAACAAACAGCACTGTCGAAGGTGTAATATATCATAATACAACACTTTTTTTGGATCGAGTAAGGCTGACAGAATTCGGGATTTGAGACGATGTGCAGGGTGCTCCGAAGTGGATCAGTGCGAGTGAAGAAGTGGCAAGAGCAGTGTTGTGACCTGCAGTGTTGTGAGTGTGTGGGTGAGGGAATGGGTGAGTGAGTGGATGATTGAGTGAGTGTGTGGGTGAGTGAATGGGTGAGTGAGTGTGTGGGTGAGTGAATGGGTGAGTGAGTGAGTGGGTGATTGAGTAAGTGTGTGATTGAGTGAGTGTGTGGGTGAGTCAATGGGTGAGTGAGTGGATGATTGAGTGAGTGTGTGGGTGAGTGAATGGGTGAGTGAGTGGATGATTGAGTGAGTGTGTGGGTGAGTGAATGGGTGAGTGAGTGGGTGATTCAGTGAGTGTGTGGGTGAGTGAATGGGTGAGTGAGTGGGTGATTGAGTGAGTGTGTGGGTGAGTGAATGGGTGAGTGAGTGGATGATTGAGTGAGTGTGTGGGTGAGTGAATGGGTGAGTGAGTGGGTGATTGAGTGAGTTGTTGGGACCTGCAGTGTGGTGTATGAACACAGGGTGAATGAGACAAATCTGTTAGACTTTAACATGGCCGAAGTAATCAATGACTGAGAGTTATGGGGCCAGTTGCTACAATAGTAGCGATAGAAGAATGACACGGAGGCAGCTGACCACTTCGTGGAACGAGGCATCAATCAGTGAGTACTGAATTTCATTCAACCTAACTGCTATGGTAAATTATTTTTCTCCAGGTCCTCCGGGTTTTCCCTGCATATTTATAAATATGCATTTAGAGTCTGTATGTATGCATGTTAAACTTCTTTCGCACTGTAGGTAGCCAACCCCGCTAATTGGAGGTGCAATTTGGCTGCAAATAACTCCGCTAATCGGAGAATATTTGGCTGCTCTACATTTTCACGTGATGAGCCACTCCGTTGAGCTATCATTTGTGGCCAGGTCGCTTCTCAAAAAGCGCTACATAGCTCAGTGTGCCTTACCTGGTAAAATAATAATAATGAATAATAATAAGGTGGTGTGCACTGTGGAGGTGGGGCGTGGAGACTGAAGGGAGACTCAACGAGTCGCCAACCGCCGTGCCGCTCTCGCCCCGCTCCCCCTTCGTTCGCCCCCCGACGCAGACGCCACCTCGAACAGGATCTCCGAGGACGACGTGACGGAGCTGGTGAAGAAGCTGGTCCAGCAGCAGATGGGTGAGCTTCACCAGGCCCTGTACGAGCCCGTGCGCCGAATCGCCTCCACCGTGGCAGGTCTGGCCAAGGACGTGGAGCTGAGCCGGCGCGACGCCGCGGCGCTCAACGGCAGCGTGGCCGACGCGGCGAGGGCGTGCGGGGAGGCGCGTCTCCTGGCGCGGAGCAACGCGCACTCCATCGCGGAGCTGGCGAGCTCCGAGCTCCGCGTGGGGAGCCAGAGCCGGCCCCCGGGCGCAATTGGGAACGACGGAGCCGCGGAGGAGGACGGGGACGAGGAGAAGGGCGAGGACGCGGCCGAGCGCGTTCGGGAGGAGCTCGAGCGGCTGCGGCACAGCGTGCTGTCGGACTTCTCCCGGCTGCTCGGGGATCTCCGCGAGGAGGTCCGCGGCCGCGTGGACGCCCTGGACGCGTCCGTGGCGGACGCGGAGCGGCGACAGCAGCGGCAGCAGGCGGAGCTGCAGAAGCTCCTCGACGCGACGTCGCCACCCCCGCCGGCGTCGCCCCCGACGGCGGGGCCCGGCCACGCCGCGCCGACGGGAGATTGGCACGGCGTGAGGGAGACGATGGCCATCCACGCGGCGCTCATCAACGACACGAGCGAGCGCGTGTGGCAGCTCGCGCAGCTGCTGCAGCAGCGGCGGCAGGAGGAGGAGGAGGTGTGCGGGACGCCGTGCGCGCTGCTCGTGGCGTCGGCGCGGGACGCACAACAGCTGGCCCACGGCGCTCGCGATGCGGAGGAGAGGCTCGACGGCCTGGAGCGGCTGCTGCGTGCGAACCTGTCATCCGCCGAGGAGGGGCTGCGGCAAGCGACGGGCGCCGTGCGGGACCTGTACAGGGAGACCGGGGAGCTGCGCCTGGCCCTGGGCAAGCTCCAGCAGGAGCAGCAGCAGGAGCAGCAGTGGGGGCGGGAGTCGAACACGGACGCGCCGCGCGCTCGGGCCGACACGCCGGACCCGGACATGCGGCCTTCTCCCGGGGATTCGGACGAACGCCTCGACGCTTCCTCCTCTTCGTCCACCCTGGACGAGTTGGCGGGCGACGTCGCTGCCCTCAAGCTCTCTCACGACGACCTCCTCGCCCTCGTCCACCAAAAGTCGCGGGTGCAGGCGCTACACACGCAGGAATTGCTCGACGCGCTGGCGGCGCGCGTGGAGGGCGGCGCGCGGGAGGCCGGCGCCCGCCTGGACGCTCTGGCGGCACGCAAGGAGGCAACGGCGCACGACCACGACAAGCTCGTGCGCCACGTGGAGCGCCTCTATAACTCCAGCGTGGACACCCTGCTGCACGTGAGCAGCCTTGGCCAGCGCCTCGACGACCTCAACAGTTCGTTCAACACGCTGCTGGAGGACACGCTGCGCCACACGCTGGTGCTCGAGGCCATGGGGGCTTTCGACGAGTCCGATTACGACGACGACGATGACGACGACGACGACGGCGACGATGGATACGGAACTCCCAAACGAAGCATCAACCTCCTGGAGCTCAACAAAGGTGTGCTGGCCGCCTCGGACTCGGCGCACCGCAATGGCAAGGCGCTGGACCAGATGATCACGCAGGTGCGCAATCTCAAGCAGCAGCTGGACGACAGGGTGGCCAACCTGGAGCGGCGCTTCCTGAGCGGCGGGGCAGGAGGCGTCGGAGGCTCCGGCGGAGACGGGGACGGCTCGGGAGACGCAGCCAGAGACGGATCCCTCGGGGTGGAGGTCGCGAGGCTGCGCGACCTCGAGGTGGCCGCCAGGGAGTCGCGGCAACAGCGGCGCTTCCTCGAGGAGAAGCTACGGGACCTGGAGAGCAGCTGCTGCGGCGGCGGCGGCGGCGGAGACTCGTCCTCTTCCATCACCATCGGAGACGTCCTGGAAGAGTTCAGGCAGGAGGTGGAGCGCAACATCACGTCGGTGCGCCTCACGCTGGAGGCCATCCCGCTGGATGAGGTGCGCCGCGAGCTGATCGCCGAGGTGAGCGAGCGGGTGAACGCCGCCCTCCTCGACGCAAGGCAGGGGAAGGGTGCTGGCCGACGCCGCCAGCGCAAGAAGGGAAAGGGCCCCGGACGCGGGTCGGGAGCCGGCGGGAGCGACGACGACGACGAGGCCGATGATGATGCTGGTGGTGGTGGCGGTGAGGATTTTGGTGGAGCAGCGGTGTACAGGGAGCTGGTGGGAGACGAGGATGCGGAGAGCCACCTGGAGAGGAGGAAGCGCAGGGGCGCGTGAGTGAGCCCAGAGGGTGGCGCCGACTCAGGCAGCTCGACCCAGAAGCAAAACACCAGCGGCTCTTCTCTTGTAGCTCCATGCCCGGCTCCGCCGGTGTGCCGGACCATCCCAGGCCAGCTTGAAGCTTTTTTGTATCAGTCATCTCCTGCGTCGTGTCCACTGACTGTGGTGGACTCGTATTGTTTATACGACCCTTCTGAAATGATAAATACAAATCCAACACATTTGCGGAAAGAGTTCCTTTGACATATAAAATAAAAAATCTTCTAAGAAAGACGTGTTTTTAAATTGGATTTTAATAATGAATGAGAGAAAAAAAAAGTTATTTTAAAGTTGCTTTCGGGAGTGTCGCAAATGATCGTTTTGTGTCATCGCTGGAATGTGACTGCCATTCCCTTCCTTTCACAAATCATCCGGTGCTGCTTCTGTTGCGTTGCGAGTGGTGCACACGCATAAACAACATTCATCAATAACACTGCGGCCTTAAAATAAAAATAATTGATAGGTTCCATTCCAGGCAATGGACCTTCTTCATAGCACATAGAAAAAATAAAAATAGACTTATTTTTTTACCAGGTAAGGCCCACTGAGCTATAGAGCTCTATTTCAGAAGGCACCTGCTCACAAATGATAGATCAACGAAGTGGCTTATCACGTGGAAATTTATAGCAGCCAAATACTCTAAACGCACATTGATTCAAAATGTGGAGTGAAAAACTGGAGGACCCGGAGAAAATTCCTCGAGACCACCGGGAGAACATGCAAACTCCAAATATACAACAGGTGTCAGGGTCAAAATCGAATCCACAACCTCCTGCATACCAGGCAAAGTAGCTAACATCTCGCCAACGTGGTCGAGAGATGCCAGAGAGAGAGAGAGTGTAATTGCGGTTTCAGAGTGCACTTAACACCATGGGACCTGATAAGAATTAAATTGTTTTATTTGTTTTCTAACGACCCGTGTTTGAATTGGCATGTGAATAGTTAGACAAACAGTGGCTATTGAGTTGTACCAGTTAAACCCCTTCGAAAATACGGGAAGCTTGCTACGGCGCTGCTTACGGAAGCCAAGGGGCGCCCAGCACAGGCGTGAAAGTGGTTACCAGTGGTTACCAGATAAGAGCTGTTGGTGTGTATGTTGAACTTTTTTCGCACCGTACGCAGCCGACCAAACTCATCGGAGGTGTGGAGGAAGGCTTCCTCATGTCGGAAGGAAGAGCGTTCCTGACGACCACAGCAGCGCATCTGAAAACGAGCGATGCGGTAACCATCTTTGTCCGATAACTAGCCAAAGGCCGCCAGCTGAGAGGCTGACCGGAGTGCGCGTGATAGTTCATGCTCCTTGACGAGATCAGCGACGTGTTGTGGTTCATTTGTGGCAAGCGCTTTGTGTGTCATGAGCGCAACCTTCGTGTTTAATTTACGGAAGAACCGGGACCGCAACTTTTACCCGAGATCGGCGCGGGATGACCGTTGCATTTCACGCGGACAACGGTGTGGTGCTGTATGGAGAAGGGAGGGTCGGGGGCCGCGAGGCCTCGTGAGAATTCATCATCACACGGCCTCATTAGAATCCAGCGGGGAATAAAGCAAGCTTTGAGAATTCATCAACACACGCTCTCATTAGAATCCAGCGGGGAATAAAGCAAGCCTGAGAATACCAATGTGATTGTGATGTATTTTTCAAAAAAGTAAATGTTATTTTTCTTCTAATTTTTGTTTAATATATATAATGGAAGCGAACGCCGTGAAGTATTGTATAGCTAAATATAGCCTTAAGTGTGAACATATACCTCGTGTGCTCACGTTAAGCTCCTTTAATTGCCAAATACTACATGGCCGATGTAATTCATAATAAGTATCCGGTGTCAGACCGTGTGGGTGCAAACTCGATTCGAGTTGTGTGCACCCTCCACCACCGTCCGACAAATCTAGTTGTCACCTGAAAAAAAATGTGCGGAATAGTTTTTGTTCTTCAACTATTCACATGCCTATTTTAAAAAATTGCTTATCAGGAAAATTTTTAAAACGTAGCTCTCATGAGTCCCCATGGTGTTCAGTGCAGTATCCAACCCTCATGAACTCTCTCTCACCTCTCCATGTGCGGTGAAATAGAGCCATTGCCTGAAACGTTGCCGATCATGTGTTTTTTCTTTTAAGGCCACAATGTCTGTTGTAACTTCATGACCCACCCCTAGTGGACATCTGTGAAAAAGAGCCTCATTGCTCGCATTTCTCCAGAGTGAGTCAAGATTCTGATTCTGTTATTGACTAATCGGTTGATTTTTTTTCCTTTGAAATTCAAACCCAAACTCAATTGGCACATTTGTCCAGGTGATAACTGGATTTGTTCGGCTGTGTCTGATCGACTTTGCGCCAACGGGATCGAACCCAAAACACTCGTCACGAATCTTGATGTCGGTCGTGAACGCCTACACTGTGCGTATGAAATTGTCTCATGTACATTTGTCCGAATTTTGTTGTTATTTGTTGCATCGTGTGTACACGTGTGTTTTACCACGAGTGTTTCCCTAATAAATAAATCCGAGTTGCACCGTCATTTCTGAACACGTGGACCTGCAGCTGAAGTGCGGGCACGTTGCTTCGTTGATGCCCGAGATGCAGTTGAACACAGTGCTTTTAAAAACTTACTTCCTTAAGCAGATTTATCATGTATTTATTCACGCATGTTGAACTTCTTTCGCACCATATGTCGTCAACCGTGCTAATCGGAGGTAAGTGTGTGGGATTAAGGCGATGCAAATTGTATTAATAATAATATGACGACGTATTTGCAAACACGATGTAAAAGGGTGGAGACTAAATGGGTGTTATTGCCGTACCGTACCGGTTTTTTTCCAAAGCGTTAGCCAGACCCGATGGTGAATTGTGTCGTGACTGCATCGTTATTACCTCGATGCGTCGTGAAACTCCCAAGCCCGTTGGGCTGAGAGGCGACCAGAAGATGGCAGCACATCACGTGTCTTTCACGAAGCCGTCTGTGCGGAACTTTAAACGTTTCCTCCAAATTTCCCCAGTTTCCTGCCCACATGAAGCAGACAAACACGCTCATTCATGGAATTGACCAAATGACGAAACTTCCCAATGTTGTTCGGCCCTCCTTAAAATGAGAATCCGATGAGCTATGATAATAAGAACAAAATAAGAATGATAATTTACACACAGAAGGCACATTTCATCCAAGGATCCCAATGCGCCGTGGAGGGAAATCAGGGAAACAAGACAGCGCCTGCAGCGTAAACGATCAAAGCTATGGGGAAAATGCCATTTTTAAGAGGTGAGTTTTCAGGGCAAATTTAAATAGCACTAAAGACTCTGCTTGTCTTATTGTCAGATGGTCACGCGTTCCATCGTCTTGAAGCTGCCCTGCCAAAAGCCCGATCACCACAGGAACGGAGCTTTTTCACAGGTGTCAAGTAGGGGGCAGGTGAGAACGTTACAGAGTCGTGAGATGCGGGGGGGGGGGGCCTTCCCTAGGTAAGGGGCCGTCCATAAATGACGTCACGCACCTAGGGGGGGGAGGGGCCAGACATTTGTGACGATGTGTGACGAGGGGGGGGGGGGGTTTTAGAAATGTGACGTCACATCAAAATACGCAACTTTTAATAAATATAGTCAACATGATCTACTTAAATAGACTTTTGAATGTTTTCTCCTACAACATCAGAGTGCAGCGCCACATTAAATACGCACTACAATGACAATAGTTTAAAGCGATTTGAAGCATGTTTTATTTTGGGGGGGGGGGGGGCAGAGCTTTGTAACGTCATATTTGAGGGGGGATCTGACTTTTTGTGACCCCGTGTGACGATGGGGGGGGGGGGGGGTCAAAAATCGTCCAAAATCGCGTGACGTCATTTATGGACGCCCCCTAAGCACACAACATTAAAGTTATAGCCCACACGCACGTGGTGGGGGGTGATGGGCACAGCGGACTTGCAATTTAGATGTCTCTGGTTCCTCTCTGGGAGCGACAGCTGAAACAATGGTGCGAGTTTCCGACCCCACCCTCACCGCCGGTGTCCACCCAGCAGAATAAGCGGGTACACCGCAATGGAACGGAGAGTCACGTGTGGTGGGGTAAAGTGTGGGTACCCCCACCTCCACCGCAATGTCTGCCTGGGGGGGGGGGGCTCTTCCGCCAGTTAGCAATCGCAGGGCTGCACCTTTATCTTCTTTGCAGTTAACCTGATACTGGCATCGGCGTTACCCCCGCTACCACCCCCACCCCCGAATCCAACACAGTCATCCCCCGGTTTACGTCGGGGATGCGCTCCTGACAGGCGCGACGATGAATATCGAAACGACGCCACGGCCGGGCCTATCCCAACCCCTTCTTTATCAATCCATCTCGCTTTGCTGCGTCAAAACCACACCACGTACAACAGCAATTCTTCATTTCAAATTCTTGTCACGCTATGCACAATTTGATAATTGCCGTGAAGCGCCAAAGCGTTCAGCCACCAGCGCCTCCTCGTCACCGCCCCCACCCCTCCCCGCGTGGGAAACCCTCGAGGCGGACGAGAGCTCCGTTTCCTCCTCCTCCTCTATCGCTCTGCGCGCGCCCACGTGTCCAGATATCGGTTTGCAAAGGGGGCCCCTGGCCGCTGATTTATATGACCAACGCTAACAAAGCAAAGATTCCCCACCCCCCACGTAAGTGCTGTTAGCGAGCGCCTATTTAAACAAGCAAGGTTCACAATGGGGGCGGTGTAGCAAATAACCAGCACCATGGCCGGCTGCCTTTGTCTCCCCAGTGCTGATGTTTACACAACAACAACCCCAGGACCTATATGTATAGGGGGAGCACGCAGCTTGATTCTGCGATCACACCCCACTGATGTTAGCCGTGGCCAGTAAATTGAATGCAGGTGGCTGGGTTCTTAGCGCAGTGCGCTACCCTCGATCTGCGCCACCGCTCCCAACACAATCGCACAAGACAAAGATTCCCCATATAGCCTCGAACAAAAGACTTGCAAGTGCTGTGAGCGAGCACCTATGAAGGCCGGCACGGCACACGCGGGGGTGGGTTGGTCAACACCAAGCCCTGCCGCCTTTGTCTCGCCAGTGGCGATGTTTACACTTACCAGGTACTCATTTGAGGCTGAGTCGACCTAGTGGGAGGCCCAGGACCGGGTTCAGATAATCGCCACCGGTGTTCGCGGTGAACGAGATTCGAACTCGGGTCGTCAGGTTCGTTGCGCAGCGCACTAACCGCTGCACCACCGCTCCCCACACGATCACACGTCAACACGCACGCGCTGTCACGAGGTCAGGGCTGAGGGCAGCTGAGCTCATGGAAACCAGCCCGAACAATTGACCGCTGCACCCCCAAAATGACGTCTGATTTGTTCAAATAAACTTTGCTGTAGTGCCGTAGTTAACAAAGCAAATAGCGCTGATAGCGATCTGGGAGTCCTGAAACCAACCCGGCACAATTAATCTCGAGGAACCCACGCGGGGCGAAAGAGGTGACGTTGAGAACAATGCATTGCGATTTTGGTCGAAGAAAACCGTAACTCCACGTTAGGGCCATCATGGGGCGGTGCGTATACCCTCCTGTCGACAGATCCTGAGCCAGTGGTGGAAATTCCACATTCCAATGTGGGGGGACATATCATGTCCATCGTAGAAATTACTGTTGCGTCGACCACCGGGACTGGGATTTGAACTCGCAGCCTCATTGGTTTTGACACGGGTGTTCTCAAATACATTTCTGGATGAAGGTCTCCACACGCCTGGCCTGTCTTGGGGGAGGTTGTTTGATCATACTTCACCACGCTGGTCAGTGCGAATTGGTGAAGGGAGGGCATATGAACGGTGCAAATATCGCTCGCCACGAATACTCGCTGTTAAATAAATGCGTTTAGGACGCAGTGGTTGCGGTTTAAGTGGACATAAACCACATGTGATCGTCCCAATTACAACTGTCCGTGATTGAATGCTATCCTGCCGTGAAAATAATGGCGCGCCACGGTGATGTTAACTCCGTCGCCTGGTGTATAGGAGGTCGTGGGTTTGATCCCAACCCTGACGCCTGCTGAATATTTGGATCTGGATGTCGTTCTCCTCGTGGTCGCGTGGATTTTTCTCCTGGTCCTCCGGTTTTCCCTCCACGTTTATAAACATACGTCTAGAGAGGGGTGGGGAACGTCCGGCCCGCGGGCCGTATAAGGCCCGCGAAATAATTTGATCTGGCCCTGCCAAGGCAACCGCAGGCAGGACTCGAAATTCAATAAATCTAGGAGCAAACCTGGAAAAGCAGTTGCGAGTAGCAACATCATCAATACCAGCTCACATCATCACACGCCTCGCCAAAGAGAAGCAGTTCCAGCCATCGCATTAGGGGTGAGTTCATTAAATGTTTGACCAAATATAACAGGCTAATTTTTAAGTTGATGATTTTGATGTTATAAATATTCAAATGGCCCTTGGCAGAAAAAAGGTTCCCCACCCCTGGTCTAGAGTATTTGGCTGCGATATAAGTCCACAGGACAAGCTTATTTCGTTGAGCTATACTTTGTTGCCAGATCGCTTCTAAACTAAAAAAATAAGTTTCATCGTTTTCAGTGTAATCCACAGCACAAGACGCCAGCCGTGGCCAATGCAACATAAACTATGAACCATAGAGAATAATAAAACGACACGAACTCTCTCCCGAAGCCCTCTCGTCGTGGCCAGCACGCTTCGACTTTGGACTTTAGTTCCTGAACACATTGCCATACGCAATTACATAGATAGATATAGAGACTCATGCAGATACATATTGTACTCATAGAGACATCGAGACCCATACACAGTCCTGTACATTAATTGCAAGCCACGGGTAGTGCGATTGTGGCCATGTAACCCAAGCTATGGAGCGCACAGTAAACCGATAGTAATCTGCGCTCCTCCAACAGAGGAGGAAGAATAGCAACACCACACGAACTCTAAACTCCTGAAGCTCGACTCGTAGTGGCCAGCAGACCTCGATATGTGGGCTTCTAGCCCAAGGGTCGGCAACCCGCGGCTCCGGAGCCGCATGCGGCTCTTTAGGGACTGCATTGCGACTCTTGAAATATTGAGGGGGAGGGGGTTACCGATTTCAGAAAAAAATGTCTTGGTTTGCCGACCTGTGACCTTGGGAGTCCAGTGTACCATGGAAGTCTAGTTTACCATGGGAGCCGAGTTTACCATGGGAGTCCAGTTTACCGTGGAAGTCAAATTCACCATGGGAGTCCAGTTTACAATGGAAGTCCAGTTTACCATGGGAGTCCAGTTTACCATGGTAGTCCAGTTTACCGCGGAAGTCCAGTTTACCATGGGAGTCAAGTTTACAATGGAAGTCCAGTTTACCATGAAAGTCCAGTTTACCATGGAAGCCCAGTTACCATGGGCAGGATTCAGCAACCTTCCGTTCCGGAGCAGCATGCATCACCGTCTCGTATTCGCCAAACTGCATTGTGGCTCTTGAAATTTTGAGTTGTTTTTAATACCGAATTAATGGGAGTCCAGTTTAGCATGAAAGTCCAGTTTACCATGGAAGCCGTTTACCGTCGAAACAAAAATATCTCTCGTTGTTATTTGTGTTTCCCACTGCTGTATTATATAGCCCCTGTGAATGCGGTTGCAGCTACTGCTGCAACAGCTGCTGCTGGTATCATCGCCTCGAGCAGCATATCGAGGGCGCCACGGTGGCTCGGAGATGTTAACTACCTCGCCTGGTGTGCAGGAGGTCCGTGGGTTCGACCCCTGACGCCTGCTGCTGCTGTATATTTGGAGTTTGCGGGGTCTCTCTCCGGGCCCTCCGGGTTTCCCCCTCCACATTTACAATCAACATCAGCTACTGCTGAACATTTCCACTTGATAAGCCACATCGCTGAGCCATCATTTGCGATCGCTTTTGAAAAAGCGCTACGTGTAGCTCAGCACTAAACTAAAAAAACAATGATAATAATTGCTTTTTTTACCGTTATCTGGCAACAAAACTGACACCTTTTTTTACAAGGAGTCATGTTTGCATTGACCACAATACCTGCAGTCGGAAGTTATGCGCCTTTTGGCGTCATCTGGTCCAACACCATGTGAGACTAGGCTCTAAGGAAAGCTGTCTCGGGTGTGGACCAATACATTTCAAGGACAGTGCACATACATTATCAGAGTTGTGTGTTTTGTTTGCATTCCGACTGCAGGTATTGTGGTCAATGCAAATATGACTCCTTGTAAAAAAAGGTGTCAGTTTTGTTACCAGATAAAAGGGTAAAAAAACAATTATCATATTTTGCTACTGGCAAATGAGGTTCCAATGGGGTAAAAAAGCAATGTTTATAGTTGTATAGAGAGCGGACCAACCCACTCGTGGTCCTGCGCTGCCGCCTGGCGTCCACGCAAGGGAATGGTCGCCAGTGCCGAGCCCGGGGGATGATTCGTGTCGCTGCTGCTGGTGGTGGAGGAGGTGGAGGAGGAGGTGGTGGTGGAGGAGGAGGTGGAGGTGGTGGTGGAGGAGGTGGTTGTGGAGGTAGAATTGAAGCGGTCAGCGCGCCGCGCTACGAACCCGGCCACCCGATTTCGGCTCACGGCCAACGCCGGCGACGATTATCGAACCGGGCCCTGGGCCTCCACTAGATCGACTCAGCCTCAAATGAGTAACCTGGTGTAGCGGCGTGTAGTGACACAGCGCCACTGGGGGAGACGAAGGCGCTCGCCGACAGCACTTTGCCCCAATTGTTAAAGGCGACAGCGGGAGATCTTTATCTTTGAAGGTGGCGATGATGGTGGTGGTGGCGGTGTGTGTGTGCAGGCTTGTTGTGAGCTTACACTGTACCGGCCACCCCCCACCGAACCAAGCCACACGGATGTGAGAGAGAGAGAGAGAATTGATAAATGAAATAAATAAAATCGTGATACAAGAAGGTGCCCCCCCCCCCTCCGCGTGCGACGCCGACCACCGCCGTCTTCAAGGTGAGGGCCTCTCCGTGGGAAGGTGACCAACTTGCCGGTCAGCTGCTGCTGCTGTTGTTGTTGTTGTTTGTGGTGTTGACGACGGCCACCACCACCACACACGGAGCGATGGTCCCTGCCATTCTACGTGGCTGGGACACGGCTGATTATCGCGTGAAAAGGGGTAAATGTTGAGTGTGTGGCGCGTGTTCGTCTGCGCTAGTCCCGTAGTGTTTGGTGGTGGTGGGTGGTGGTGGTTGTTGGTGGTTGTTAGTGGTGGTGTTGGTGGTTGTTGGTGGTGGTGTTTGGGGGTGGTGGTTGTTGGTGGTGGTGTTGTTGTTGGTGGTGTTTGGTGGTGGTTGTTGGTGGTTGTTGTTGTTGGTGGTGGTGGTGGTTGTGTGGTGGTGGTGTTTGGGGGTGGTGGTGGTGGTTGTTGGTGGTGGTGTTTGGGGGTGGTGGTTGTTGGTGGTGGTGTTGTTGTTGGTGGTGTTTGGTGGTGGTTGTTGGTGGTTGTTGTTGTTGGTGGTGGTGGTGGTTGTGTGGTGGTGGTGTTTGGGGGTGGTGGTGGTGGTTGTTGGTGGTGGTGTTTTGGGGTGGTGGTGTTGTTGGTGGTGGTGTTGTTGTTGGTGGTGTTTGGTGGTGGTTGTTGGTGGTGTTTGGTGGTGGTTGTTGGTGGTGGTGGTTGTTGGTTGGTGGTGGTTGTTGGTTGGTGGTGGTTGTTGTTGGTGGGGTTGTTGGTGGTGGTGGTGTTTGGTGGTGGTTGTTGGTGGTGTTGGTGGTTGTTGGTTGGTGGTGGTTGTTGTTGGTGGTGGTGTTTGGTGGTGGTTGTGGTTGTTGTTGGTGGTGGTGTTGGTGGTCACAAGTGGTGAGAGGGTTGATGGCTCGCGGAGGGCCTCATCCAGCAGTGGATGGGGCATCTTGGCTGCCACTTCTCCCGCCGTGGCAGGCTGGTGGCGAGATTACAGTGCGTGTGTGTGATGTGGTATGTATGGACTTACAGTGTGTACTGTACCACCGTATTATATACTGTAATGTATAGACTTATAGTGTGTACTGTACCACCGTATTATATACTGTAATGTATAGACTTACAGTGTGTACTGTACCAGCGTATAATATACTGTAATGTATAGACTTATAGTGTGTACTGTACCACCGTATTATATACTGTAATGTATAGACTTACAGTGTGTACTGTACCAGCGTATAATATACTGTAATGTATAGACTTATAGTGTGTACTGTACCAGCGTATAATATACTGTAATGTATAGACTTACAGTGTGTACTGTACCAGCGTATGATATACTGTAATGTATAGACTTATAGTGTGTACTGTACCACCGTATGATATACTGTAATGTATAGACTTATAGTGTGTACTGTACCACCGTATGATATACTGTAGTGTATAGACTTATAGTGTGTACTGTACCAGCGTATATACTGCAGTGTATAGACTTATAGTGTGTACTGTACCACCGTATGATATACTGTAATGTATAGACTTATAGTGTGTACTGTACCACCGTATGATATACTGTAATGTATAGACTTATAGTGTGTACTGTACCACCGTATGATATACTGTAGTGTATAGACTTATAGTGTGTACTGTACCACCGTATGATATACTGTAGTGTATAGACTTATAGTGTGTACTGTACCAGCGTATATACTGCAGTGTATAGACTTATAGTGTGTACTGTACCACCGTATGATATACTGTAGTGTATAGACTTATAGTGTGTACTGTACCAGCGTACATAGCTGATATCACAAGTTAGGATGTGAGAATTGTAAGGTTGTTGTGTAACGTGTGATGCTTGGCACAGATTGCAATGTCGCTGTTGTGAATTGCCTCCAATCGGATATGCAATAGTCCTCGTGTGTGTGCTGTGTGTACATATTGTTGTACACACGTTATGTTTGTGTAGGGTGTAGTATTGTGTACGCGCTACTGTGTTGCTGCTTACAACGTCTAACACGGATAATGTGAATAAGCTTCGCTAATAATGTACTATGATTAAGACAATCACAGTGACACTGCATTGTTAGTGCTTTGAGATGTCTCTTAGTAAGTGGCAATCGTCGAATATGGACTGATGCTCATATGTAGTAACATCGTCGTCATCATCATCATCAGCAGCCATGGTCAATCCACTGCTGGGATGAAGGCGACGATATTCAGAAGGTAAACAATCTGGAACCGATTCCATCGCTCCATCTCCCTCGTCGGACGTCGTTGAGTCTGAGCCGTGGACGGTGACTTGGCCCCGAAGTGCCACCGACTCTTCTCAGCGGTCTTGGACGACGTTGATCGTCCACCTGCCACCCCCACGACCCTGTGCACCATGTTGGTCGTTCACCTGCCACCCCCACCACCATGTGCACCATGTTGGTCGTTCACCTGCCACCCCCACCACCCTGTGGACCATGTTGGTCGTTCACCTGCCACCCCCACCACCCTGTGGACCATGTTGGTCGTTCACCTGCCACCCCCACCACCCTGTGGACCATGTTGGTCGTTCACCTGCCACCCCCACGACCCTGTGCACCATGTTGATCGTTCACCTGCCACCCCCACGACCCTGTGGACGACGTTGGTCGTTCACCTGCCACCCCCACGACCCTGTGGACGATGTTGGTCGTTCACCTGCCACCCCCACGACCCTGTGCACCATGTTGGTCGTTCACCTGCCACCACCACCACCCTGTGGACCATGTTGGTCGTTCACCTGCCACCCCCACCACCCTGTGCACCATGTTGGTCGTTCACCTGCCACCACCACCACCCTGTGGACCATGTTGGTCGTTCACCTGCCACCCCCACCACCCTGTGGACCATGTTGATCGTTCACCTGCCACCCCCACCACCCTGTGGACCATGTTGATCGTTCACCTGCCACCCCCACCACCCTGTGGACCATGTTGATCGTTCACCTGCCACCCCCACCACCCTGTGCACCATGTTGATCGTTCACCTGCCACCCCCACCACCCTGTGCACCATGTTGGTCGTTCACCTGCCACCCCCACCACCCTGTGCACCATGTTGGTCGTTCACCTGCCACCCCCACCACCCTGTGCACCATGTTGATCGTTCACCTGCCACCCCCACCACCCTGTGGACCATGTTGATCGTTCACCTGCCACCCCCACCACCCTGTGGACCATGTTGATCGTTCACCTGCCACCCCCACCACCCTGTGCACCATGTTGATCGTTCACCTGCCACCCCCACCACCCTGTGCACCATGTTGATTGTTCACCTGCCACCCCCACCACCCTGTGCACCATGTTGGTCGTTCACCTGCCACCCCCACCACCCTGTGCACCATGTTGGTCGTTCACCTGCCACCCCCACCACCCTGTGGACGATGTTGATCATTGACCTGCCACCCCCACCACCCTGTGGACGATGTTGATCGTTCACCTGCCACCCCCACCACCCTGTGCACCATGTTGATCGTTCACCTGCCAACCCCACGACTCCGTGGATGACGTTGATCGTTCACCTGCACCCCCACGACCCTGTGGAGTCCAGAGGGTCATGGGGCCCCTCTCAATGTCATTCCAAGCTTGCATCTTCTTCCACACTTCTTTGCACACTTACGTTGAGCACAGTATATTTTTAAATATATATATTGTACAGATGATAATAACAATAATAGACAGTTTTGTAGGCAAAAGTATATTTGCTGGCTAGGATTATAGATATGACAACTAAACTACGTTGTTTATTTGATTGGTTTTAGGCCCCATTGGGCAGATCGCGTGTAGAAGCGACCTGGCTGTCGCATGATCGTTCAACAAAGTGCGCTGATCGTGTGGACATTTATAACAGTAACACAATACTCTAAACACGTGATGTTGATTCTAAATAAACCAGAGGACCTGGACAAAAAAATCCACGGGACCATGGGGAGACACAGGCACCCCCGAAAACTCCAAATATACAACAGACGTCTGGGTCGGGATCAAACCCATGGCCTGTATGCCGGGCGAGGTAGTTAACATCTCACCACCGTGATGACCCATGACCCACAACCCAGTAGCCACGTACTGGGTCGTCCTGGGGCCCACGTTTTACCCCACTAGACGCCCAAAACGACTTTCTGTAGAGTAACCCTTTCACCGCTGCTGGATGAAGAGAGGTGGGTGGATTGAGGAAACGTGTCCATTGTTTCAACTTCCGTTCCTGGAGATCGAACCGGCGTGCTCAAAAGCACCCAATAGACACGGTGGTTCTTGACATGAGCAGATTTTTTTTAGAAGGTAAATAATCGAAAAAACAATCAAGCACGGACACCTAAGTACAAACTACATTGTGTCATCACACCTATGTATTTGTTAACATATATAATTGTTACAATTGAGAACCAAATTGGGTGCCAGGCTGCAGTAATAAAGATTAAGAACCACTGCCACAGACAGTGCGTATCACAAATATATGATGTTGGACTATGAGCGATTACGTCAAGGCTCTTTCTCTTGGCTTGTGGGGAAATAACATTCTTATTCCTAGCATTTGCAGGGGTGAGGAGGCATGGGTGACTCATGCTAACAGTGGAGTGGCGGTCATACGTTGCGTGTCTATGTCTGACGTTGGTTTGAATGTCTGAATTCCTCTCGTGCCCTAATGCAGGAAGTGAGATTGAATCACGTGTTGCCTTGTCACCGCTGCATTTTGGTCAACAAAAAAAAGCCCCTCCAGAGAATGTAGGTTAGCACGCAACAAAAGAGCCTTGGGGTGCCGCACATTCCAAAGGTTCAATTGCTGCACCCCTCGTTTTACTACTTGCCGTGGCGGTCACACCTCTTGCCGCATCGCCTGGGACGGGCCCGACCTGTTCGAATCTCGGAAGCTAAGCAGGTACCAGCCTGGATAGCTCTTGTTGATGGTAACATTGGCTGCTGTGCGGTGTATGTTGTGAGAAGCAAAGTGCAGTACGGCAGAATGCATTGTTTTACTGAACTATGCCCCCATGTCCATGTTCCCTGCCATTACCAACCTGGGCT